TTTACTATATATCTACTCAGCGCGACTTGCTGACGCGACAACCATGGCTTTTTTAAATCAAAGCCCCTACATGGCAACGTTATCTGGAGGAATGGAACAAGGAAAAATCCATAAACAGAAAGATTCCACTAAATCGGAATAATTTGCCAAATGTAGCCATTTCAGCCATCTTTAATGTTTTAATTGCTGTTAGAATCATTACAGGAAATATATTCTGTGAAATGGCCTGGAAATCCAAAGCTTGGTGAAGGGAAACCTGAAAATCAAAATCATGCTATTATATTTACACGTGGAAATGCAATACAGACCATTGATATGATTCAGGTGACTACTTGTTTTTATATTGATATTGACCTGAATGTTATTTACAGGGCAAATTGATAGTATATTTTTTTATTTATTTCTCTTTGTATGTGGACAGGATAATTACTTTGAGGAGGCTTTGAAGGTGAGAAATTTTCTTGAAGAATTTTACCGTGACCATGGAGTTCGCCCCCCTACTATTCTTGGTGTTACGGAGCATGTGTTTACTGGAAGGTATGGTATTAGAGGCATTTTGTCCCTTATAGAGTTCATTTGTTTAGGCTACTGACTCTTTAAACTTGTGCATCTTCTCAGTGTTTCTTCTTTAGCATCCTTCATGTCTAATCAGGAATCTAGCTTTGTGACTCTTGGCCAACGTGTTCTAGCAAATCCTTTGAAGTGAGTTCACATTAATCGTGAATATTTGTTGTTCCATGGCATTTATAGAGTAATCATTGAAGTATGAAAGAAAAGTATGTCTAACTTGTATTTGAAATGATCATCAGGGTTCGTATGCATTATGGTCATCCAGATGTCTTTGATAGACTATTCCATATAACTAGGGGTGGTATCAGCAAAGCATCTCGCGTCATAAATATTAGTGAAGATATTTTTTCTGGTAAATTTACTTCACATTTAAGGGGATTTTGTTTCATAATTTAATGTTATTGTGTTGAATTTTAATCTTATGGGTGTAGAGTTTGGGAAATATACTATATTAACTGCGTGTAAAAGCTTACTTAAAGTTCTATATTTATATGCATGGCCTATAGGTAACATTTATTGAGTTTATTTAAAACATTCCTAGTCAAATTGGAGGATATAAGTTACAGTTTACAAGTTACATAGACAATGTTTGCTACCAAAAAAACCATTTTGTATGTCTCAGAAAGACTTAAAACCCTGGATATCTCTTCCAATTAATCTACCGATTTTACGAAGAATAATGCGCCTAGGCATAATCTATTACATATTTACATGGTGAGAAAAGATAACCATTCTTTCAGCTTTAGATTTGTCCTTTCCATGACATACAAGATGCTACTACCTAAGTTATCAGACGACATACAAGCTGGAAATTTACAGCTTGAGTTGCCTTCCTCCACCTCTGGTCTCTGCTCTTGCTACTACGACAGCACATGGAATTCCTTGTGGCGTTGGAGGAATTCCTAGCTTTGAGATGCTGCGGCCTGTCTAATCCGGAACCCATATGTTGGAGTATATTTTGCCATGGAGTAGATCTTCTAAAACTATGTTGAAAGAAATAGATAAAAATGAAGGGAGAAAAAGAATAACGGAAAAAGAAGATGGCATGTACAAATCTGATGTAAGAAGAAGATTCGACAGGGAAGAATGAAGAAAGAATGAAAATGTGATGGCTGTC